CTTATTTCTTCACTTTTGCGATGCCTTGAAAGGTCACTTGTGGATGTGCAGCTGGAGTTGCTGCAGCTTTTAGAGCTCCCGTTGGTGGAGTGCTTTTTGCATTAGAGGAGGTCACTTCATGGTAGGTTCCTTCCCCCATCCTATGTCCAGCAGCTGAAATTATTCTGTTCTGAGAAACAACCATTTGAGGAACTTCTATTGTCTATTATATTTTTTTCCTTAGCATGTATCCTGGCATAGTCTATCTTGTGTGCATCTGGGATGTATGCCTCTGTCCATCTAATTTAATTTGCATGTGCTATTGAAGGTGGAGAAGTCAACTTATGTGGCGTGTCTTTTTCACTTCTGCCATTGTGGCTGTCGTGGTGCGTACTGCCATGGGATGGTGCAAGAGTGGAATATGTGGACACTTTGGTGGAGGTGGTTTCATTATATGGGATGTATCAGAGTAAGGTTCTAGCTTCAGTTCTCCTCACTTACGTTGTGCAACGCTAAGAGTGCTAGAATTGACTTGCAACTTTTCTTTCCTTCGTTTAGTGGTCAAGATGACTACTACTTCAAGGAGCTACTGCCAATGGCTGTAATTGGAGTCATCGGAGGCCTACTTGGTGTGTTTTTTTCTTTTCCTGCTGCATTCTTGGTTCCATTTATATTTCTCTAACTGTTTCATTTCTTATGGCATTTTCCTCCAGGGGCATTATTTAACCAACTTACATACTATATGACATCATGGCGTCGAAATTATTTGCACAAGAAAGGAAATCGAGTGAAGGTATTCACAAGAAATTCTACATTTGTTTGATTATGTTTATCTTTTGATGATTGTCTCGTTTCTGAACTTGCGTAACTGCTACATATTTGAATATGCAGATATATGAAGCATGCATCATCTCTTGCTTAACTTCAGCAATCTCATTTGGTCTNACATCATGGCGTCGAAATTATTTGCACAAGAAAGGAAATCGAGTGAAGGTATTCACAAGAAATTCTACATTTGTTTGATTATGTTTATCTTTTGATGATTGTCTCGTTTCTGAACTTGCGTAACTGCTACATATTTGAATATGCAGATATATGAAGCATGCATCATCTCTTGCTTAACTTCAGCAATCTCATTTGGTCTGCCACTCCTAAGGAAATGCAGTCCATGCCCTGAAACAGTTCCTGACTCTGGTATTGAATGTCCACGGCCTCCTGGAATGTATGGGAATTACGTAAATGTAAGACATTGTTATAGATAGATGTGTATCTTTGAGATCTGCGATGATGATATTTACCCATCATTTAACTGTTTCTCCGATGGCAGAAATGGCCGTCATAAACTTATAGGTTTTGCTAACTACACCTAGTGAAATTTGAACACTCTTATTAGATGCGTATGTGGAATTCATGTGATGGTGTCTAAAAACCTAAATAATCAGGCCCCAGAACTTTAGCTATGCCAATTCATTGCCACTGCTGAGCTTTCTGACTTTCCTGACATTTCAGCCTTTTAACGTTGCCACATTCTTGTCACTTATTATTATTATTTCTTTGTTTCCATCATTTCAGTTCTACTGCAAAACGGATAACGAATACAATGATCTCGCCACAATTTTCTTCAATACTCAGGTCTTTTATGCTAGAATCTTTTCAAATATGTTCTTTCTTATTTTGACTTTGCTTTACTTTTAAGCCCGAGTGATACAGTTTAAACCTTTTGCTTTTCTTTTTGGCGACAGGATGATGCTATAAGGAATTTGTTCAGCGCAAAGACAATGCGAGAATTCAGTGCTCAGAGTCTACTGACATTTTTGGTATGAAATGCTTCTGCTTGGTTAGCTTAAAAAGTTCCTCAACCTGGTCATATACCCTTAATTTGGTCGATAGAGTTTGAGATTAATTGAATTATGTGCATGTTATCAACATGATGAGGAATATGCTGATTTAATTTTTTTAATATCGTTCCATTTCTTTATCTATTGAAAGACCATTCTATTTGTTTATTCATCTGATTTATTGGTCTCTTTCTGTTTTAATGATGTACAGGCTATGTTTTATACATTAGCAGTGGTGACATTTGGCACTGCTGTTCCCGCTGGCCAGTTTGTCCCTGGAATAATGATAGGATCAACTTATGGGCGCCTTGTAGGCATGTTTGTAGTCAGGTTTTACAAGAAGCTCAACATTGAAGAGGGAACGTGAGTATCTCTGTGTAGTGCTTTGTTGATCTTACCACTTCGTTGTTTTCAAATTTGTTGGTTAAACTTTAGGCCTTTGATACAAAAGTCTTTGAATCTTAGTTATGCTTTACTGGGAGCTGCTTCGTTTCTTGGAGGCTCGATGCGGATGACTGTATCTTTATGTGTTATTATGGTTGAAATCACAAACAACCTGAAACTTCTGCCTCTTATAATGTTGGTTCTTCTCGTTTCAAAGGTATGAGTTACCAACATTTATCATTTGCCTTCCCTCTTATGAAGATACGTTTGTTTTAATTTGCTCTGTTCCTAGGCCGTGGGTGATGCTTTCAATGAGGGATTGTATGAAGTACAAGCACGCCTTAAGGGTATTCCGTTACTGGAATCGAGACCCAAGTATCATATGCGGCAAATGGTAGCGAAGGAAGCATGTCAAAGTCAGAAGGTTGTTATTATTTCTCTCCATCATCTAAGACAGAGCTATGTTTTATCGTCAGCCAACCACTAGATGGAGTTTGTAACACGTAGGTCTCATGTTTTTTTTCTTCTTCTTTGAAGGTAATTTCTTTACCTCGAGTTATCAGGGTTGCAGATGTCGCTTCAATTTTGCGCAGCAACAAACACAATGGATTTCCTGTAAGCATTGCTTTCCCCGACACCAGGTTTCACCCGTTACTGCTTAGTCCTCTGTACTGATGGCTTTGTTTTTGACACTGTACCAGGTTATCGACCACACGAGAAGTGGGGAAACACTTGTCATTGGGATAGTTCTTCGGAGGTACGTGATTGTACATTTATCCACCAACTGCAAACGGTGTTATTTTTGAAGAAATATATAATTCTTTTTTTTTCACCTTGCAGTCACTTGCTTGTTCTCCTTCAATCGAAGGTAGATTTTCAACATAGCCCATTGCCTTGTGATCCAAGTGCCAGACCGATCAGGTAAACTAATGTTACACTCTCTTCTTTTCCACTCTCTCCGGAAGGAATCATAATTTTGTCTGATATATAAATTGATTATGCAATCTCCAGGCACAGATTTAGCGAGTTTGCTAAACCTGTTTCATCCAAAGGGTTATGCATAGAGGATATACATCTAACTTCAGATGATTTAGATATGTACATAGATCTTGCTCCGTTTTTGAATCCCTCTCCATACGTCGTTCCTGAAGACATGTCGTTGACAAAGGTAAGTATAAGCACTTACATAAAATATAAGTTATATTGTACCGATACATCAGATCATTGGTTGAGAAAATTTTGATCCGTTTGAATTATAGGTATACAACCTTTTCCGGCAACTTGGATTGAGACATCTATTTGTTGTTCCCCGTCCTTCCCGTGTGATAGGCTTGATCACAAGAAAGGATTTACTTATTGAGGTAGCTAACCTTTTACATTAGTAGAGAGCTAGTTCTAGAAAAAATATTCAATTAACAAAACCCGAGATAGGAATAACATGGGTGATGTTGCTGGTCTTGTTATGCAGGAAAACGGGGAATCATCAGCTGTTGAACTCCAACAGTCAACTAGTGTAAGGTCTCTTGCTTGCTGCTATTCTTGTGTTTAATCACAAAAGCATTGGGAGTCTCTCGAGTCTGGTGTTGTGATCCTTTAGTCTAAACCCTCGTTTAAGACTCCTTCAAGTTCTTAAGTGTAATCCCTTTAACCAGAACGCTTATATTACTCATTGTTTTTGCCTTGCAGAGGTCGGTACAGTGAGACAGCAACGCGGACGGAGGCTGCACGTCCGCTTCTAGACGATCTTTTAGGCTAGAAAAATAGTAAAAACGTATACAAGCATTTGAAGCTGGTTAAGTAAGATGTTTACTTGGACTAGTGATTAGTCCACACTAGGAAACGACATGATTTTCCCCGTTTTGAATTTGAGGAGCTTTGCCTCAAAATCAGTCTGAAGGATTATATGATCATTTCTCATGAGCTGGGAATTGTGTTAACAGTCTCATTGGCTGTTCACAGAGAATAGAATGATATATGTTAGTGAGTTTGATATGTTGTAATTGTGCAAACTTTAATTTATTTCCTGGTCATTGTAAAATAATCTAGCCGTTGGCATATTACCATGATTTAAGTTAAAAACCTATCGGGAAAACAAGAAATAATATGCGTTGAGGTCATTGGTGATCTGATCTACATACTGCAGAAATTTTACAACTTATTTTTATTGTGTATATATTTCTAAGTGGTAAAAAGTTGAAAAACTAAAATGAAAGCCGTATCTATTGAGTACCATAGTAGCCAAGGGTAAAATATTAATTCGAAAAGAAATTTATACTATTCGAACTTTGGTCGATCAAGATTTTATTTGTGTTTCAAAAAAAGAATCAAGATTTACTTTAACAAACATACTTTGATACTACGTACCGAGCGAAAGGAAGCAACATATCCACGCTGATTGTGCATTTAGATAAAGAACCGAATCTAGACGTAATAAATCCAGTTCATTTTTTTCCAGTTGTCATATATGATATGGTAACAATTATAAACCTTAACTTAAACAGACTTCCGAAAGTGGATAACTTGACTTTGTGACAGCGATATGCTGACTGTAAATTCCCTCCCAAAGAGTCAAAAAAGGGGACAATGATCCAAATATATTGACCAAATATTCAATTCTTGCATAATTCCATTTTCAGACATCATCCGTATCTTCTTTTTCTGTATAAGTATATGAACTTTTCTTTGTCTCATAAATAAATTAAGTAAAGATCTCTCTCTCCTTGTCTCTCCCTCCTTTACAAGATAGAGAAGCACAGACACAGACACTAACATTTAGAGAGATCTAGAGGTTTTGAAACAATGGCTGGTGGGTTTATAGCGTCTAGTGGTGATTCCCCTGCTTTTCCGGGGAAAATGACCCTTTACGTCTTCATTTGTGTCATTATTGCCGCTTTTGGTGGTTTGATCTTTGGTTATGATATTGGAATCTCTGGTACCATTCTCCTCTCTGTCAATTTCGTTTGTTCTTTTTTTTTTTACGTTACTTATAGATTAAGATATGTTCATTTTAGATTCAGACACGTTTTTTTTTTTTTTTTTTTTTTGGAATAAAAAAAATAATCTT